TCCTTCCTACTATTAACCCCTATAACCTCTTAGATCGGGTCTTAAGTAATCGTCTTATATTTATTACTATCTTCTTTATCGGGGACTATAACTAGGCGGCCACTTACTATAGGACACGGGTAGGTCTCGTTTCGGTCCGGCTATCTTAATTAGTTAGATTTAAATTTAGGTTTAGGTTTAGGGTCGCGTCGAGTTATAGCTATACGGTGCTAAGGAACGAAAGTAGGGATAAGACGGGACCGAGACTAATCGTTATAGATATCTATACGTAGACCTTAACTATAAAGAAATACTAGTTATTAGGCTAGTCCTATTAGTTAGGCGAGTTAAATAGTAGGGGGGAGAAGTGTATAGTATTCTTTATATAGAGACTAATTCTTACTAAGCCTAAGTTTCCTAAAGGAGGCACTCTTATACCTCTTCGTCCTAGAATCGTGTCCGTTACGATAATATATTTAGTTAACCTCCGAATCCTCTTTCGGATATAGTAGTTATTAGGATAATCCTATAATCAATCCTTAGTAATCCTTAAAGAAGCTCGAGATAAAGAAGTTAAATATATATCAAGATCTTAGTTCCGTATCTATAGCGCTTTTCCTTTATATTAACATTTCCTATAGGAGTCCCACTATAGGTATACCTACGGGTATACCTATAGGCTACTAGGAATTCCTATAGTAGGACTAGAACCCCTATAGGAGTCCTATAGGAAATATGGGAATTCCTATAGGACTATAAACAATATAAATAGGGAGAAACTCGTGACTTATATAATTATACGGCTTTATACTAGTTTTTTTAGGTATTAGTTTAGTGGTTATAGCGATATCTAGGCGACACTAAACGCCTACTAAGTTTATAAACACGGTTAGAGCACGGTTAGAAAACGTGATAAAATAAAGCTTTAAGTATATAAGTAATTTCTAGCTAGTTAGAAATAGTGGTAGGCGAATAGAGCTCTTAACGTATATAGAGAAAAGTGACTATAAAAATATAAGTAAATTATATAGGATAGAAATATATATCTCTCTTATAATATATACTTTCTACCACGACTTCCTTTTTATACCACTAAAGGGGATCACTAGACTTTAAATTTTACTTAGGTTAGTTATAATAATATTAAATCAATAAATACGGGTTTATTTTATAAAATTTGAACTAATACTATAGGCGTATTATAGTTAAAGATAAGTACTAATAAAGATAAGTGTAAATAACGGTAAGTTATTATAATAACTTAGCATTTTATCTATCTATTTTTAGTTAGTTATACTAGCGTAGGAATCTTTTTTAGTCCTATAGGAATTCCTATATTTCCTATAGGCTACACCTAAGGGGGGTGCTCGGCCTATAGGAACTATAGGCATATACGGTGGGCCGAAGATTCTGGGGTGCCTATAGGAAATGTCAAGGTCTATCTATACGGTCGTACTATCTCGTGGAGATTGAATATAGTACTTAGTATTATACCTACCAGATCTTTAACCTAAAGAGTGCATTCTATTTAAGATATAAGGATAAGGAGGGAAGGGAATAGAAGAAAGGGTCGTTTGAGACAGAACATTTTATAGGGTCCTCCCTATAAACAATAGAGTTTTTATTAATATAATAAAACCCCTTAGTTAGGCACGTGTTTGACCTCACCGCCCTCGGTAGAACGCTCAATTCCGAGTCTTAACCTCTAAATAGAAAAGTTTAATAAGAAATAAGTATTGATATATTAAGATAGAATGTCTTAGACCTATAAAGAATTAAAACTAATCTATACCGGGATATTACACTATATTTAAAATTAAAATATATGCTTACATTTAATCTATAAATAATATAGATTTATATATATAAAAACGGGGTTAGGGTTTAAATCTGTAGTTAGATTTAACCTAAACGCGAACTTAAATGTATAGTTGCATTTACACTATATTATATTTGAAATTAATACTACATTTGAATTTGTAATATTATATATTTAGTCTAATTGTCTACTTTTAGAATTTTTAGCATTTATAATTAATTCAATTAGCTGACTTTTGCTTAGTTCAATTGGCTAGTTCTTGCATCTATAAGTCTAATTGTCTGATTTTGCATATATTAAAATAAAAATGATAAGCCGAGATTTCACACCAAAAAACCCTTTATAAAGAAAGAAAGGACCACGCCGGTAGGCTTCGCTAATTAAGCTTTACTCCGAACTAGATCTTAGAGCTAGCTACCTAACCCGTTAGATCGTGCGCTAAATAACCTTATAAAAGGCTTCCGGCTCTAGATATAAGGTGCTCTTTTATTAGCGTAAGAAAACAAGGAATTACGCGCCGCTAACGAGAAGAAGTAAAAGCGCACTCGATCCTAAAGGCAGATACTAGTAAAAGTAGCCCTTGTAGTTTAAGAGGCTTCTCAATTATTAGCTGAACCGACGGAAGCAGTTAAAGCATCTACTCCTACCCCGGCATACCTAGAGAACCGGCTTCGGAACAACGTATGCGGGCTACACCAAGGTGTAGTGGGTGCAGATCAATAGAGCATGGATTTAATAGATGCCTAGCTAGATAAATAATTTCAGTCGAATTAATTTAATGGCGTTTGGTTGAGATAAATGCGTTTGAAATTAGTAGGTTGGGTTGATCCACGAGGGGGTGAATTACGTTGACTTGTGACCAATACCCTTATCATACTCAGTATTTCTGTCATTACATATGTACAATAGTCGCTAATTAGTCTACATGCACTACAAGTCACTAGCACCACAAGCAATACATTCAAAGCAAGACCATTCGGTCCTTTTTGCCCCTTGATATCATAAGGATGGACTCAGGACATGTCACCCATCAGATCTTCATCCATCTCAAGTCCAGTCTCCCCCCCAGTGGGATTGACTTCACTAGAGCCTGACCAAACCTGACCCTTATGCAGGCTATCAACGTACTCATCGCTTAATCCCAGGTTATTATTGGTCTCCCTAAGATTAATTACTAGGGTCTCCATCAGCTTCATCTCTCGCTTGAGCTGGGACTGCAAGTCCAACTCATGAGAGAGTCGAGGTAACGAATGCATGGATGAGAACCGTAGCATAGAAGACTCAGCATGATCTTTGCTCTGCACCAATGTCGCGTTCAAAACACGGGACATGATGAGGGATGAGACAGCGGATCCTGTGACTTCTGCACACACAGGGGAGGGAAACACCTGCTTTGAAAGGTCGGCCATTGTTAGAGCTGCAAAGGTCTTCCCAAGCTTGATCACGGTTTGACTGAAAAAAGCACCCACTACCTGGGCAATGAGACCGAGGTTTTTGTCCTAAAGCAGAGGCATTAGCCCTGAATGTCCAATAATACAACCTACAGTGTCAATTAGAGCCGCCACCTACCGCGCTCCAGACTCCCATGGCAGCATCAACTTCAGCATTAAGTCTCTTCAAATCACCACGTTCAAATGCGCGAGCAAGAATGATATAGGGCCTCGCAAGTGATTGATACACTTTCACCACATGAGGTGTTGTGATGCTTGGAGGCGGGCAGAGCTGCTCGCGGAAACAGTTAGCTCAAGAAAACAATGTCGAGTCCTTTTCATGTTCTTCCAGTGAAGAGCTAACTCACCTTGCCCTTTTCGAGTAAGCCTACCAGCACCCATTTTTTGTAGGCCTCCACCATAATCAAGCTCACAGAGCTAGTACTAGGCATAGAGATGACAATCCCAAGGAAATGAAGTGCATTGCGCCACTCCTTCAACGCCATGTACACCATACCCCCATAAAGAAAGTACTGCAAGTAGTCTCGATAAGAGAGCTTGGATGAAACCCCGGAAGCTTCAGTCATAAAGGATACACTTGACCCGTGATCGGCGCAGAGCACAGAGTGTTCTGAGGGACGCCCAAGCGAAATTGGGACATGACAAATCTGCTTCTTCAAGACGGGCAATGCACAAGAATATGCTTTGGCCTGGAGACAAAGCCGGACTAGCAAAAGGTGATTCGAGGTGAAAACGGCACATGATGGGTCGAGACGAAGCATAGCGTCTTTAACCAGCGTAGCGCCTAGCAGTGGCTGTATCAGTGTTAGGTTAGCAATTAGATCCAAGCTACGTTGGAAAATAGCCGACTCACCATTGATGCAGCTTGTGAGGCTTGTCCCACGAGCTCAACAAGAAGGCGCCATTCTCGTCCAGCGTATCTGACTTGGACCCCATCGAAACTCGCCAAAAAAAGTGCAGCGCATGTCCATAACTTTCCCGAGGGGCGAATACCCGCTGGGAATGAATCCGCGTTCAGTTCTTGTTCCTTTTGTATTTGCACACGTAGCACGAAAAGGTATGGGATAGAATCTATCGCTGGGTCAAAACGCTAAAGACAAATGGACATTAGCTGCGAATCCATAGAACTTTTCATGGACAAGATTTGACAGAAATAAATCTGCTTACATCAAGGAAAGACTCATCATTGGCAAATGACTCAAGTGCCTTGGTCGTTTGTAGCCGCCTGAAGTATTCAACTAGCTCGCGGATCCGACGGTCATACTCGTCGCTGGGTAAGTGATTAGAGCTGTGTAAATGCGCCGATGCGGAGATAATATCTGAGAGGAGTGTCATCCTGGCAATGTATGAAAGAAGAGCACAGGATAATTTGGCGTCGAATGCGCAAAGGTGTGTTCCGTTTCAAAACTAGTGTGATATGTTGAATGTCTTTTTCTGATGTCAGGCTTGCAATACGATGGAGACTCAATGTTGGATAAGGAAGTGAAGAGCCAAGGGAAAGAGAGATTTGATAAGATGTTTGTAAAAGAAACCTAGGTTGTAGGTATGTTGTATGTTGGTAAAGAAATGTGACGTAGGGGAGCTGTGATGATTATTGGAGACCGGGAAGGTGGGTAAATCCGAGACGAGCGGGATCGATAACGTGCCCCTCCACACTTTTGACTCATTTCTTTTCCCTTTCCCTTCTAAGTCTACTACTTTCACTTTTTTCTCGCCCTTATTCAATTCCTATAGGAGCGGAGATTATTGACATGTCATTGACCGAATCCGCAGCAGTTGATGTCGCTCATAGCGCATCACGCGCCTCTCGTCGCCTCGCAACCTTAAGCAATGATGAACGCAATAAAGCTTTGACGTTGCTCCATGATGCATTGGAAATGAACCGAAAAGATATCCTTGAAGCCAATGCTAGGGATGTGGAACTTGCCACTATTGCGGCCGAGAGTGGGAATTTGAGTCGCAGCGTGCTCAAGAGACTTGACCTGTCGCGGCCTGGAAAATACAAAGACATGCTTGATGGAATCCTGAGTGTGCGAGATTTAGAAGACCCTAGTGAGTGTAGTTTCTAATGTTTGAGCTTTAGCGAGACAGGACTTAACATAATACAATCATAGTTGGGAAAGTGACACTACGAACCCTCCTTGACGATGGTCTGACACTCGAGAGAGTCAGCTGCCCTATCGGTGTGCTACTGATTATCTTTGAGGCCCGCCCAGAGGTAATAGCAAACATCGCTGCGTTGGCTATCAAGTCAGGTAACGCTGCTATTCTGAAAGGTACACGCACGCCCTTATAAAGGTTTCATGGTTTTGTTCAATTGACGTAAATCAACTTTCTAGGTGGGAAGGAATCCATGGAGTCCTTTGCGGCAATCGCGAACGTTGTCTCTAAAGCTATCGCCGAGTCTCGCGTGCCAGTATCATCCATCCAGCTGGTCAAGACACGCGATGTGGTGTCTTCTCTCTTAGCCCAGGACCGGTTGATTGACCTAGTCATTCCTCGGGGTTCCAACGAACTTGTCCGTTTCGTGAAAGATAATACGAAAATCCCTGTACTTGGACATGCCGATGGTCTTTGTTCTGCTTACATACACGCCGATGCTGATATCGACACCGCTGTGAAAGTGATTGTGGATTCAAAAACGAACTATCCAGCGGCATGCAACTCATTGGAGTGCTTGCTTGTCCATGGGGATACCCTTGAATTTGTCTTCCCGGCGGTAGCTTCTGCTCTCCTAGAGAAAGGCGTGACTCTCCGTTGTGATCCTGATTCAAAGTCTGCTTTGACAAAGAGATTGCCAGCTGAGAAATCAGCGCAAGTACAAACTGCCACCGAATCCGACTATAACACCGAGTTTTTGGACCTTGTATTGGCAGTGCGAACAATTCCCTCGACCGACCCTTCGACCACGGCCGTGGAGGCTGCCATTACCCATATAAACATGCATTCCTCCAAGCATACTGAGATCATTTTGACTCAGTCAAAAGAGGTGGCGGACATGTTCATGGGCGGAATTGACAGTGCTGGTGTTTTCTGGAATGCATCTACTAGGTTTGCCGATGGCATGCGGTTCGGATTTGGTACGGAAGTTGGCATCAGCACCAACAAGATTCATTCCCGAGGACCGGTCGGACTTGAGGGCCTGACCATCTACAAGTACTTGATCCGGGGAAATGGTCACGGGGCAGCGGACTATGATGGTGAAGGAGGGAAGAAATATCTCCATACTAAACTGCCCATAGACCAGTAATCGACCTTCAGTGCAACGAATCAATAGGAGGATATCATTTTAGAAAATATTTTTTTTTCCTTTGCTTTCTTGTTTGAAAATTCCATGAAGAAAAAACTTAGGACAAAGCCTGATTCAATTTTCTTTTGCCCCTTCATTCGTAAATTCTCATTTCCCAGTCAAACCGAAGACATCCCGCCACTTTTAAGTACACAGACTTGAGGCCTCTGGCTAGAACTGGAACGATTCCAGGCACCGGGAAAGTCGATGTGGCCAATGCATCTTTCACAATACATACACACCGCATCATCCTCATCAGGTCCCTTAAACCTTGAAACCCTTGGACCTTCTGCGACCACGAGCCCGCTCGAACTTGCGGCCCTTGCTTCCCACGTACGGCTTCTGTTTCGAGTCAGTAAATTTGAGTCACAGCGTCTCATTTTCCAGTCGTAATAACGAACCTTGTCGGTGTGAGGACCAAAGCCGAAGTGCTTCACGGCCTCACGGGCGTTCTTGGGTCCACGCAGGAGGAGAGTGTTGGCACCGGTAGGAGCGCGGAGAGCAAGCTGGTCAAGAGTCAAAGTCTCACCACCAGCCTGCTCAATGCGAGCGCGAGCGGTAGCGGTGAAACGGAGGGCAGCAATCGACAGCTTGGGGATGGTCAAAAGGCGGTTGTCGTCGGTGACGGTGCCGATAACGACGACGGTCTTGCCCTTCTGCGCCTCACTGATGTTGGCAACAGCGCGAGAAAGGGAAACCGGGGGGCGGTTGATTCTCGACATGAAGAGACGACGGAGGACGGCCTTGTTGAAGTTGGACTCGGTGCGGCCTATAATGCATCCCATATCAGCCTCGTTAAAATCCTCACAACGGTATCCCTATAGAAATTGCGCTGCAAACGAAATTCGGAATCGAGGGAGTCATACGAGCCAAGAAGCGGTAGAGCTTCACCAGAACCTTCAAGTAGACGTTGTCGCTCTTGGGAGCCTTGCGGTGGGTGCTCCGCACATGGTGGCGGTCCAGGTCGATACCTGCGATTTAGGAACTGTCAGTGGAATGAACTGAGAACGAGAGAAAAAAAAGGAGGAGTTCGAATGAATGCTGCGAGATGCGGTGCTCGAGTGAACAGAGATGCTTAACATACCCATGGCTGTGTATTGGTCGACTTCCCGGGAAATAGCTTGCTGTCGCACCCGTATGGAAAGTGCAGGAGGTTTTTGATCCTTGACTTTCGGCTGGACAGTGGTGTGTGGGTTTAGCCCTACGCTAGACTAAATTAAGAAAGACGAAACACATGACCTAGCTATATCCACGTGACCCATAGACATTTCACTTGCCGTTCGGTCACGTGGTGAGTGTGTCTCATTGGGGTACACATGAACCTTATCTTCAAATTCGGCTATGGCGTACTCCAACTCCATCGTATGTTTGTACAGAATACAAGATCGCTTTATCCACTCTGTTGTGTATATATGTATGCATTGTGTATAATCAGATGTTCATAATAATAATAATGAGAAGAAAATATCTAGGTACATATATTATTTGAACTATTCTCTATCATCCAAACGGACAAAGAAATCACGAGTCATCTCAAAGCTCAACCAGCTACTGGCCATACTAGGAGCAACTTTCAAAAGATTCGGCCCTATCCCCTTGAAGAGTCCACGAAGTCCCTCTTCAGCCACGATGACCCTAACAGCATCCCAGATCGAGGTGTATTGGTAACCCATTCCCGACATTGTGTTGATCTGGAACCGCCGACGTAGTACATCACTAAAGAAGAGTCAGTTTCACGGGGCTTAGCCAACAGAACAAAAAGGACTGACAAAGGATAGGTACAGGTCTGGGCGACTGCTCCAGAGATCGCGCCAGCCAGTAGTTTTCGATAGGAGCTAGGGTTTTTGTCCCCTTCCGGTGTTAGATACTTGCGCACCGATTCGTAGGTCATAAAATTGAGTCCCACCTGTCGCTTGTCAGTTGTGATCAAGTCAAATTAAGCTGACAACTCACATATGGTGCCACTCCAGCAACAGTAGGAGCAATTCCACGATATAAAGCCTTTGTCCCACCTTCATTTTTGTAGATCATGGCCATTGTGGTGAACATGCCTGGCAGTTTTTGGCTTGGATCTCTTGCTCCAAGATCGGCAAATGAAGCAGATTGAATAGAAAGTCGGGTCCGGACAATGTCCAGAGGATAGGTGATAGTCACCGAGGTGATGCCGGCAATACCCCCACAAACAAGGCGACGCATCGGGGTCATTTCACCATCGGGAGACTCTACAAACTGGATCAAAGAAATGTCAGTTTGCATCAGACCCTATTTCTGCAGGATAGGAGCAGGCACCCACTTGCTTGTAAAAATTATAGCTCCCAAATTGTACCGCAGAGTAGGGGATAATGCGAATACAGTTTGTTCCATTTCCTCTCATGAAGCCCCGCCAGCCTTCTTCCCGCCCCATCTTCACCAAGGCTTTCCAGATTGACAATCTGTATTCTGTTCGACCGACACTTTGAACTTGAAGAAGAATTTTCAATCGTTCGAGTGGTGACACTATGGTCCTGGAAACTGCACCAGCCACTCCACCAGCCATAAATGCAGCCACCACCGGTTCGGCGAGGTTCCTTCTAACACGAACCAGCATCGAGGGGGTTTGCTCAGTAATTAGCTCCTGCTTTAATCTAACAGTCAGCCTCTCAGTTCATATAAACGGGGGTTCTCCTTCTCACCTTGGCTGGATTTGTACCAGTGGGAAATTTGGACAGGTTGTGCAAGGCAGGCTTTGCTGCACCCTCCAACTCCTCTTTCTGAACAGCATCCTGGCGATCTAAGCTCATCTTGACGATATGCACATCCGGTTCTGCAGATATGGTCGAAAAAAAGACCTTTATTCTGCTGTATAATATTTTCCCGCAACTCTTTCAACGGAAAAATGAAGCTTGATTCTTGCTGCAAATCAAATGCGATGAAGCACTATTTGTCTAATGCTAGCCATGAAGGTTGGTTGTTTTCGGAGGCTTGGTGATCTAAAAGCACATCATTGACCTTGTGTCCAGTGGTGTATTGTTCGTTTCAATGGCCATATAACTAGGTATAAAGGGTAACGTTGATAGTCGATTTGCGAAAAAAGAGAAGCAAGGTCAAAAAGAAAGGACTTTGCTATGATCAGATGTGATGTTGGGCCGGAGTTGCTTTTCCACCCCCTTCAATGTTGGTAGGAGATGTAGTTGGACAGGTGAAAAGAAAAGAGAAACAAGAAATAGGGAACCAGAAAGGCGTTTCTCAGAGATCACACAAGTGGTGTATACTTGGACGATCAAGTTGTCTAGAGAGAGAGGTTTAGAGGTTCAGAAAGAGAAGAAGATACCGACTTACCGACACACACGGTACCTCCCGATAACTAACGTTAGTCCGCCACTTATATTACGTACCTTGGGGTCCACAGGTAAGCTACATAGTATTGCCTAGACCTCAACATCCATTGTAAAATAGATCAAATTTTATTTGTATTTTAAAGATATAATATCCATTTATATTTGTAAGTAAAATATAGTATCAATACCATCACTCATAAAGAAAAAGAAAAAGAAAAGAACATACAAAAAGAACCGCAACTCCTTTCATCAATTGCGTCATTGGCATGTTTGAACCACCGTAGCACCTTCATCACTAATTCTTTCTGTGCTCTCTGTCTCTCTTCCCTTATACTCTTTAATCCTCTTGAAGCTTCTTAAGCTCCACTCCTTTCCAAATCTTTCAAAACCTTCTAACTGACCCAATCTTCTTTCTTTTCCATTGCTCTGTGCTAACGGCACCATGTCTTCTCGCTCTGGAACTACTCTGTATGTTACCGGGTTTGGCCATGGCACCCGTGCTCGCGATCTTGCCTACGAATTCGAACGGTACGTGTCGCCTCTACCTTCGCACCTACGAACCTCGATTCCCATACCTCCGACGACCTCCCGATGAAGACCATTGGCACTAGATTCCTTGGACGAGCCTCTTCTTTCTTCAAACTAGCGTGACATTGGCGTGGAAGCTTGTGTCTACGTTGCCCCGTCTCACTCCTTGGGCAACTGTTAGCTGGTCTCGGTCATTCTTCATCATAATTCCTCTCGATACCGGTACCTGGAGCCAGCTCAACTGATTTTTGAACTAGTTATGGGCGTCTTGTTCGCTGTGATATCCCTGCCCCGCGCACTCCCTCCAGCCGACTGTGAGTTGAATGATGATATCTGAAATCCACTTTACCTGTCTAATCCAAATCGCTTAGTTTTGCCTTCGTTGAATACGAGAGTCGCCGCGATGCTGATGATGCTTATCATGAGATGCATAACAAGCGTATCGGTCGCGATGATTTGCTGAAGATTGAGGTAAGCATATCCTCTCCACCCGAAAGCTTTGGAAAATCTCTTTTAACCTATCTCTAGTGGGCACGCACTCCTCCCTCTGCTTCCTGGCGCTTCGACTCTGGCTCTGGCCGTGACGCTCCTCGTGACGCTGGCCGTGATCGTCGCCGTGATCGCACCCCTCCTCGCCGTGGTCGTTCCCCATCCCCTCGTCGCAGCCGTGGCGGCGACTATTCTCCTCGCCGAGACGATCGGTACGAACGCGACACCGACCGCACCGACCGCGACTACGACCGCCGCGACCGCGATTCTGACCGCCGTGACCGTGACCACGATCGACGTGACCGTGACCGTTCTCGTGATCGCTCTCGCAGCCCCGATGACCGTGAACGTGATGGCAAGGATGACCGGGAAAGACGCGATGATGATCGGGAGCGTCGCGAGGAGGACCGCGAGAACGGCCCCAACGGTGAGGACAGGAAAGGTCAGTTGCCTCGGAATTCAACCTAGAAAACGTTCCTTTCACTCACATACAGTAGTACCCCTGGACCCAATGCCCTCTGCTCATGATGAGCTTGATACTGCTGAGTAGATCAACTCAGTGCTACGTTCATTCGCTCTCGAACCATGTCTCCCGTCGCCATTATGTTTTCGTCTTCGGAAGGTGTCCTTCATTGCGGTTGTGCCAACTGGGGGGAGGAGGAGACAAGGTTATCGCCCCAGTATGGCTCTATCCTGTGGCATATCTCGTATCTCGTCCCCCTTTGCCTCTATGTCTCTGATTTCAAATGGCGTGAAGCTTGCTCTTCGGGACAAGCTGGGGCCAAGTGAACGTGTGACACCTGCTTCCCCTACTTTTTCAATTTCGTTTTTCCCCCAAGTTATTCCCAATATTTCTTTTTTTGAGGTTGGTAATTTATCCTGGTCAGCAGCTCGGATCCTACCGAAGCGAACGTCGAGCGATCGTTCCAAGTCCGCGCCCAAATACCACGATGAATTCCGTTTCGCCCTCCCGTCTTGTTCGCAATTTTAATGGAAGCGGTTATTTCAATCCCTCGCCCTCCTCGACCGGTCGCCATCCTATGTGGTCTGGTTTTTCTAAACCACTGTAGTGCCTTAGTTGTATATGAGGCCGATGCTGTTGGGGGCCCTTTTTTAAGAATCAGTTCCACGTATTGTTAATGAAACAGCCATGTCTAAAATCTGATTACATTTTGGAAGTCGCCCGTATCATATGACGTAGGATATTTCCCATTGTGGCCTTATGCTGTTGCGTACCTCAGGCAATCAACCCCTCTATAACTAACTAACTAACATGTAGATAGTTTGGGAGTCCCTCTATCCTAATACAACATTCTCCTGCACTTTGGGCCCTACTATCCTTAGAGCACAAGACTACCTTATTCAACGTTCAGATACTCTCTACTGTCATGAGTTCAGCAAATCAAACAGGAATCAGCATTGCAATCGATGTATTAGCCTTCTTTCCCCCTCAACACTGACAAGGCAAAGAGGGGCGGGACATTCACGGATTGCGTTGGAAATCCAGGGACTGGCCGCTTGGAAGATGACATTGTGATTAAACTTCTCTCAGAAGACCCAAGCGACTACAGAGATCGCCTTTAGAGGGGATCCGGCGCATTCTTTCCAAGTTTACAGGTCATGGAATCCCTCGTGGGGAACCCATCGATACTTCTTTGATCCAGAGCATCCGCATGGGCACAATTGTGGCAACAAATGCGCTGCTCGAACGGAAGGGGGAGAAGGTAGCGCTGGTGGTAAGCAAGGGCTTCAAAGACTGCCTCGAGATTGGAAACGTCCAGATGTCCTTTACGAGGAGGTGATCGAGGTGGACGAGCGCGTCACTTTGGAAGACTACGCAGAAGATCCGCAACGAAACACTACCACTACTCCCCGGGAACAGACCCGTGTAGAAGACGATGTTGTTCGTGGCCTTTCTTCCGAAGCAGTTCGCATACTGAGGCGTCCATCTGAGTTGAGGGTTTGGTGAGATCGCAGTTGAAAGAGGTATACAGCCGCGGGATTAGAAGCATAGCAGTATGTCTTATACATGGGTACACCTTTCCAGACCATGAGGCACTGGTAGGTAGGATCGCTAAGGATATTGGATTCAGCCACGAGCTGATTCCGATGATTAAACTTGTGCCGAGGACCACTTCAGCCTGCGCCGACGCGTATTTGACCCCTGCCATCAAGAAGTATATCTCTGGATTTCAAGCCGGATTCGAGGGTGGCCTACGCAGCGACAGTGTCAAACAGCAGGCGGGCACCAAAGGCGCACGCTGTGAATTTATGCAATCAGACGGTGGCCTCATGGACGTGGACCAATTTTCAGGCCTACGAGCACTTCTGTCAGGGCCTGCTGGCGGAGTGGTAGGGTATGCGTTGACTTCCTATGATCCTGTGTCTAAGACAGCTATAGTAGGCTTTGATATGGGAGGGACGAGTGCGGATGTTAGCAGGTATGGATCCGGCCGGTACGAACATGTCTTTGAGACAACCACTGCTGGAGTGACATCCCAGTCTCCTCAGTTGGATATCAACACTGTTGCTGCAGGTGGTGGCTCCAGATTGTTCTACCGTAACGGTCTTTTCGTCGTCGGGCCTGAGTCCGCAGGAGCTCATCCAGGGCCCGCATGCTATCGCAAGAGTGGACCACTCACAGTAACCGATGCCCTTCTATTCCTTGGGCGATTGGTCCAGACTTCTTCCCGAAGATTTTCGGCTCAGATGGAATCCAGGAACTGGATGAACAAGCCAGCCGGGTGTTGTTTGAGGAACTAACCGAAGAAATCAACCACAACTTGACCAAAAGGGGGCCAAGACCGAGAAATGTCCCGTGACGAGGTTGCCTTTGGTTTTATTAAGGTAGCCAACGAGACAGTGACCCGGCCCATTCGATCTTTGACAGAGGCCAAGGGACATGATACCTCAAAACACAGGTTGGCTACGTTCGGGGGAGCCGGGGGCCAGCATGCCGTTGCCATGGCTGAGAGCCTGGGGATTCGGCAGATTTTGATTCATCGATATTCCTCGGTGCTCTCGGCATACGGAATGGCACTGGCAGACGTTGTCGATGAAAATCAAGAGCCTGAATCGAAGACCTGGGCTGATGATGACAAGGGAGGCGTCCAGGATGCACTTGGTTCGAGAATAGAAGACTTAAAGAAACGACCCACGCAAAGGTTGCAAGACCAAGGCTTCGGTAATGATTCAATCGTGTTCGAAGAATACCTCAATATGCGATATCGAGGCACAGAATCTGCCTTGATGATACTTAAACCCAGCAAAGAGGAGGCCGATCTTCACTTTAGGGGTGACGAATGGGCCTTTGGGAAAGCATTTGCGAGGCAGCACGATCAAGAGTTTGGTCTTACTCTCCCAGACCGGGACATCATTGTGCATGACGTGCGAGTGAGAGGAATCGGGAAAAGGTTCAAACTATCCGAGAAGACTGTGGCCCAGAAGATCCAGGAGTCCAACCCAAAGGATGTGACGACGGGCCAAGAATATCGCAGATCTTTTGTATACTTCGAGGGTGGCCGACGTGAAACGCCAATCTACAAACTCAAAGACTTGAAGGTTGATGAGCGAGTGAGAGGCCCAGCGATCTTAGCCTATGAACGAAACGATAGTGGTGACTCTAGGAGCTTCAGCGCTCTTGACAAAGACTCACATCGTTATCAATATTGGTGAATCCGATGCCAGCCTGCCAAAGGTTGGCACTGACAATGTGGATCCTATTCTGCTGAGTGTGTTCCCGCACAGATTCATGGCTATTGCCGAACAAATGGGACGTTCTTTACAGAAGACAAGTGTAAGTACCAATGTAAAGGAGCGACTCGACTACTCCTGCGCATTGTTCGACGCGGAGGGCGGACTGGTTGCGAATGCGCCAGATTTGCCCGTCCACCTCGGTAGCATGTCAACCTGTGTACGGATACAGGCCCGGATCTGGCAAGATAAATTGAAGCCCGGCGATGTAATTGTGTCAAATCACCCGGAATTTGGGGGAACTCACCTTCCGGATATCACAGTCCTGCAGCCTGCTTTTAGCCAAGGAAAGATCATATTCTACGTCGCTTCTAGGGCGCATCATGGTAAGACCTTTGGAGTGAAAGAGGAGGGGGAATGGAACAGATATACTAACCTGCATGAAGCTGACATTGGAGGAATACTCCCGGGATCTATGCCGCCTCACTCAAAAGAGCTTTACGAAGAAGGCGCAGCAATCAAAGGCGAAAAGTTGGTATCAGAAGGAAAGTTTGACGGGGAACGCATCACAGAATTGCTGTACAAAGAGCCAGCCCAGTATCCAACCTGCAGTGGGACCTGATGCATAGCAGATAACTTGAATGATCTCAAGGCTCAGATTGCTGCGAATAAGAAAGGGATCAACTTGATCAGCACTCTATTGAGGAGTATGGTGAGGCTGTCGTGCAGTTCTATATGCACCATATCCAAGATAACGCAGGGCTCAGCGTACGCAATCTACTAAAAGATGTGAGCCAGAGATTTGCTGGTCAAGAACTGAGTGCTATTGATTATATGGATGATGGGAGCCCTATTCAATTGAATATATCAATAGACGGGGACAAAGGAGAGGCCATCTTCGATTTTGAGGGGACGGGTCCAGAAGTATATGGTATTGTAGAGCGGCTTTCAAGAGCACACTTGATGTTTATTGAGTTGACAATGACAGGCAACATCAATGCACCGGAGGCTGGTCACATACTCAGCGATCATTTATTGCCTGCGATGCCTTATTTCAGCAGATATCCCATTGAACCAGGGCTGTTTGAAACCTATTCACGTTCGAATTCCTCCTGGAAGTCTCCTATCCCCCTCGGAATCAGCTGCCGTGGTGGGTGGCAATGTCTTGACGGTAAGACCAGACAGATACTGACGTTGATCATGGGCTTATCGATTTCACTTCAGAGTCAACGAGTGACCGACGTCATTTTGAGGTGCTTCCAGGCTTGCGCTGCGTCACAGGGTGATACCAACAACCTCACATTCGGGTTTGGAGGGAATATGCCCGGTGAGACGGAAATGAAAGGGGTTGGTTACTATGAAACCGTCGCCGGCGGTAGCGGGGCTGGTCCGACTTGGGAAGCACTTCGGGGGCTCATACACACATGACTAACACCAGAATCACCGATGCGGAGGTGTTTGAGCGTCGGTACCCTGTGATCCTCCAAGAGTTCAGTCTTCGACCGAATTCAGGAGGCAATGGTCAGCATCGCGGTGGGGACGGCGTTGTGCGAGATATTGAATTCCGTATTCCCGTGCAAGTCTCCATTCTTTCCGAACGAAGAGTCTACCATCCATATGGATTGGAGGGAGGCGAGGACGCCCAGTGTGGTCAGAACATCTGGGTGCGTCGCGTGAAGAAGCAAGACGGAAGCTGGGAGACAAGATATATCAACCTCGGTGCGAAGAATTCCGTTCAGATGCAAGCAGGGGAGCGCATCATTATCCGTACACCCGGAGGGGGATGGGGTCAAATCGGAGACCAGAGCCAGCTTATCCAAGAGAAAGATCATCGTCGTGCTTGGCGGGGAGGTTCTATTGCCAACAACACCGCGACGCAAGAGGCGAGTATGTGATCTAGAGGGAATTTAGGAGTAAGTCCACAGACCACCATGTCTTTATTCAAACGGTCGAGATCAATTTGATTATGATGAAAACTGTAACGGCCGTTTACGGGCGACGTACATCCACTCTCAGCGATTATGATTCACTTTCCTCATCGCTTGTCGCCTCGATATTCTGCTTTGACGGACTTTGGTTGTCCGAATGGGCCTGTCCTTGCTCTCCTTGATCAGACTGGCCTCCCTCTGCCGAGTAGACAGGACGAGGCAAAGTCTCCCCATTCTCTTTCAATACCTTCTCGATTTCAGGTAGAATTGAAACGATGGCAGCGAATTGATCCACGGGCATTGAGATACCCTGAATTGGGGATGAATATTAGCACGGTTTATGCAAACTGACTGATTAACCGACCTTTTTCCCTGGCAACTCTTGCCCGTCCTTTTCATAGTATTCTCTGACGTTCACCTGGGTTTTCCCACGGAAAGAAGATATGGTCACGCGGCGCATCTTGGATATTTCCCAATAGCGATCTCCATTAGAGTCGGTTTTAGCTTCCGTAGTGTTGACCTTGGCCTTTTTGGGGCGCACGCTATTGTCAAGGCCAGCGCCCGACTCGGACGGACGTTTCTTAGATGACATAGTTGAGTAATGGTTGTGAGAAGGTATAAAGGTATAGGAGAGTAAGAAAGTGGGAAGTTGCCCAGGTGTGTCCAAACACGAACGCGAAACGCGGACACGTCATCACGTGAAAACCAATCTTCTATATGTGTTCATTGATAACTCCTAATTGTGGTCTCTCATTCATGTGTATATTCCAAAACAGGATACATTGAACATTAGAGAGTCAATACTCTAAGGCCCTGTAGGAGAATTGAGAAGACAAATCCTCGAGCGACACTCTCAACTTGAAGACTATCAAAGATCTTCTCTAGCGCTTCACGACTAGCAGCTGCCCCCATAACACTTGTTAAGGCCTGTGGAATTCCTCGCTGCACAAATAGTCTACGTGCAGTATCCCGTAACCGGATCTTCTCCTCCTCACTGGGTGGAGGGGGCCAGGTTTTAAGTTCCTTCTCTGTCGGAAGCGCGTTCTCACGGAGCTTGACGAGGTAATCCCCCAGGGCGTCGTCTGAAGTGTGACCTTCTATCATGGAATCTTGCAACAGAGTGCGAATAGTTTCCAATGTCGGGCTCCCGGGTCGTAGGATATACGATTTGGCAGCATTCAAAAGGGTTCGGCGTATATTCCACGCAGAAGACAAGGTGTACAACTCATTGATGACCGCAAAGATCAGCTCTACTGCTATTTGCGTCTCATCAGCTGTGATCGGATTCCCCTGCTTGCGAGGTTGATCAATACTCTGCCCAGTCCCAGATCGGCGATGTGATGAGGTTTGATCAATAGTTTCCGTTGCCTGGATGTCAAGTTCTGCAGTATAACCGTTGATATCAAGCGAGGTTTTAGAGGGTAGGACCTCTGTGGTCCATGCACCTTGCTCATTCCCAAACGACTCTCTGGTACTGTCGATCAAAGGCAACTTAGAAATTTCGCCTCTTTGGATTTCCAGGGATTCGCTAGGCGACACCGCAGGTGAATCGACGTTTTCGTGGCTTACGCCGGTGCGATCACCAAAGCTGGACCGTTTCTGCGACAAACTCGTGCGACTGGAGTTACCAACTTTGTGTTGAATCTGATCAGCAGTGGCGGCCGGTTTCTCGCCGTTGGCGCCCCCGAATACCCCCGTCATTCCTTCTAAGACGGCTTTACCGCCCCCTGCCACTCCCTTGGGCGCATTGGTCAATGCACCCAGCATACCTTTGCCCACGTTTGCAAACGCAGTTTGACTGGGGAAAGAGAATACTGGTTTGTTAGGGCCGGTGGGTCCAGTGGAAGAACCAGCGTCTTTTTCTAAAAATCGGCGCATTCGATCAGTGTCGGCAAGTGACTCGTGCTTCATGGCATCTTGTAAATACAACTCAAGGTCTCGAGCGAGAGCTTGTCGTGTTTTGCCCTTCCAGGTAGGCAGGATGGGGTGACGCTCTGAGAAACTTGAGATCTGATTCAATCGTGAAACGGTTCCCAGCATCTCGTGAAGAGACTGGAAGTCCGAATACTTGCGAAACACCATCCAGCCAGTCGAGCGTGTTGACGCTGGTTCAACCTGTAGTAGATAATCCCACATTGGTTGCGACTTGATCTGGCCCTTTTCATCCCTCGCTCCGTCATCATCTACCAACACTTGTGCCCCATGAAGAATCAAAGGTGGCACAGAAGAATCTTCGGATAATTTGGGGCTTGCAAGTAATTGCGTATTGGGCACTGGTCCCTGGTCTTCGTGGTATTCGTTTTCATGAGTTGTCTTCAAAGCCACATTAGCCTTCAAAGGGTAATTTTCGTCGATTCGTTCGTTTTGGCGTGGATGTTCTGAATCTGAGCTCTGCGTATCGTGGGATGCAATCATAGCACTTAGACGTTTCGCCTCTAGAACTGCTTCTTCCTCTGTAGCCCTTGCCACGTGCATGGATTCTCTCTGTGTGGCTTTGACGGAGTCTGCCTTTGGGTCTTCTGAAGACCTGGGAGCACCGACGCCCTGGTTCCGTGCACCTTCAACGCCTGCGTCAATAGCGTGCATGATCTCGGATTCACCGCCCTGCAGGAGATAGATAATCCACTCATTAATAAATTCAGGACGGGCAAGACTGGTAACAGTGGACCCCAATATCACTCCCGCAAAGACTTCACGGAGGAAGTCACGTACAGCCGGACAATTGTACGCCTTGGCATCCAAGAAATTCGACAGTATGTCATCCGCAATCATACTGAGTTTCTTCTTTTGTTGTCTCTCAGACAAGATATTCGCTAGACTGCTATCCGGAAATTGCTCAAGGTACTGATCCACAGCCTTTTGGGCTTCCGCCGGGGAGGAGCCCACAGCGGTGAATGCTGCTGCAAGTTCATTCAAGAACACAATGACGATAGATGAGGAATTGGTGAGAAACTGCAAGAATGTGTCCTCTGTTCGTTTCCGCGAGAGGTGTGAAGAGATTGATGTAATGAAATGAGTCAAAATTCTTCGACAGGAGCCTGGAAAACTTGACTCGGACGGTAAGAGTGGCTCATACCAGTATCTTTATTTGGGGTAAGCTACTTGTTTCAGAGTGGGAGAAGGGGAGATAGATGGAGGACTTACTTGACATAGTCTTTAATGACTGCATCGGTGAGCGTTCTCAACGCGACAGCGGTGGCCGGTTGGAAGGTGGCATATTCCAAGTCTGCTGAGGACATATCTTCAAGCGCACTTATAGAACCATCGTCTCCTTGCTGGGTGTCTGAAGCATCAGCCCGCTTAGGCCAGTCCAAAAGCCTGTTGGAGACTTCTAGCGCAAGCTCTCTACGTCTGTTGGGCTTTTGCGCATGCCACGCTTCGCCTGCGCGTTCGTTATCCGATCCCTCCCAGGACGCGTGCAGGACGACCCCCACAACCACTCCAATCAGAAGCAGACCGATCCTCCCTAGGATAATGTAGGTGACGAGTGCAAGAAGCGCAAAGACTCCAAGGAGGGTCTCATTGGTAGAGGTCGAGAGAAAATCGAGGGTAGCATTGATGACTTCCTTTGAAAGCGCTGTATTCGAAACGGGGTCTTGCGTCGGGTGGTCTTTGGATGGAGATGCTGAAATGACCTGGGAGTCTGCATCATCACTGAGGCGACTCATTGTGCTGAGATATCCCGGATTTGGAGGGTGGCCAGAGTAATTGTAGTCAACCGTCCATGCCTAAATTTAGATGTGATCTTGTAGATCTATGTAGACAATGGTTTTTGGCATGGAACAATAAAGGCAACAAGAAGTTACGGGGTTAGGTACTTGGAAAATGCTTGGCGTACACCTTTGGCCAGTGCGTGCCCCGTACCCGTATTCGGTATAAGAATAGAACATTTGATCTTCATGAATGTACTCCGAGTATTCAAATCAAGAGCTAAATATGCATATATTATTTGTTATGTATCCAATCATGATTTCCTTACAAGCATGAGCTATATAGCAAGGAATCTAAAGCTAACAGAAAGGAGTTGATCTCCGCTATCCGAGTGAATCTGAGCATTCAAAGAGCATGTGCTTCATGACAGATGTAAAGAGATTGCGGTTGGGAGAAAGAAAATGAAAAGTGTTCTACAGGCGTGACAATGACCCCAAAATCTCATCATGTCAGGACATAATTGGTATGTGGCCCCTGGGCCACAATCGCCAGTCCTTTTGCAGTATCCATCGTGAGGTCGGTGTTTCACTTCCGTGAAACCCAAGGCATAAATTTCAACCTCATTAAGAAGAAATTCATAATCGGACTCCAGGAAAGAATGATTTCCGAGAGGTTTTCACCATCCTGACTTTGGATGATCCTGATGAGAGATGGACATAGTATGAAAGAAAGAAGGAAAAGAAAAACGTAAGGTTTTGAACGGAAGTTCATATTACCTAATGCTTAGCCGACAACTGTCCAGGTGGACGCTAGTCCCACTCGGGTCCACGGGTGACGTATGTGCTTACTAAGTACTCACCTGGCCCACAGGTGCAGCCCTGGATCATATACCTAAGTACTCATACTGATGCCTCTTTTGATAGTGTAGTGTATGTTTGCAATTGCTTCATCTATGTTTTTGTTTGTGTTTATGCCTCTGTCCTCTAGAAAGCATCTGGGAAAGCATAAAGTGATTGACGTCCTCATCTCCCCAATAGGTGAGATGACTGGCAATACTGGCTATTAATGAAATATCGAAGGCTCCCCTATATTCCTGTCAATAAGGCTCAGCAATGCAGTGTAAAGGGTCTTACTCTTGGATGCTGTAGTCCACACGACCGTTCGCATTCAAGGCACGCACTTTAGCGTCCTCGAATTTCAGCCTCCGGTCCTGGTTAGTGTCGTCGGGATCTGGACTCTCGGCATGGTGGACACTCCTGCTTTTTTGGAAACCGTCGTAAAGAGTCTCCAGATCGGACTCAATCAATGTCTGATAG